CCCCCTTAATAATAAACACCTTCATTTAGAAACTGTATTTTTGTATACTTGTGTTATCTTTGTCTAATATTTAAATTTATTTGATGATCTGAAACAATCAAGTGTGACAAACATAAAAAAATAGGAAATCAGGAAGGGGGCAAACACTGTTTCACACCACTGTACATGAAGATGGAAGGGGAATGGTGGGGAATAGTGCTCTCTACCTTTTTGCTTTGTATTCAAGAAAAGAGCCATGGCATAAATAATGGCGGATGGAGAGGATTGTCTTGTTTTGAGAAAAGTGGTCCTGACTGGAATAAACCTGATTTTACAGAGATTATATAGTCGCTATCACTACTAGTCATCAGACACTAAAAAGGACCGTATCTCTAATACAGTTTATTCTGTATTGACAAAACTATTCAAACTTATTGATAAAGCTATTAAAATTAGAGCATGGACTTTGGACTTTATTTATTATTCTCAATTCCAGTTACTAATGTGAATGCCCCATGAACACTGGGTGTTTTCACATCTCTGGTTTTTAACTCTGCCTAAATCAGGTTCATTTTCTTCCTTGCTACAACTCATTTGGGCAGGTGGGAGCAAAGTTAATGTGCTTGGGTGTAGCCCAAAAGAACCACATCGAGGTGCTTAAAATGATGTGGTCTAGGTTTGGTAACAAAATAAACTATTTGCTCGTGGTGTGAACATGATCAGACTTTCACACCTGCAACATGATACTGTAAATGATGACTATAAAATCTCTTTTTCTGCTCAGTCGTCGGACTTCATAAACATCTTATATTATAGTACAGAGCAAGATAGTATTTTCATGTTTCTTTCAAGTAAATTTTCCTAGAATAGTTTTATCTAGCTCAGATATTTGACATTGTCATGAAAACATATTAACACTGTTGTTGTCTCATGTTAAAGTACATGGCAGTGACTAGAACACAACGCCCCCTTCCCTTTCTTGTTCCCTCTTCAGATACAGGTGAACAATAAGTTATCACAAGGTTAAGTGATGGATTTTTCTTTGTTTTTTTTTTCTGTGAAAATAAACCACCAATTGGAAAATGCTCCAAATGAACAAACTCATCAACAAATTTGTACCAGCAAAACAAGTACAAGATTGAAATAGCTCATAGAGTCTGTCTATGTACCATAAATGCTTTGCTGTATTTTGCCCTTCTGCTTCTGTTCAGTTTTTTTTTCTGTTTTTGTGCTTGAGATTTATTGGCATGGTTTGTCTTGTGGGACTTAAAGTGGGCATACGAATGCATTGATTTTGAGGTTTTCCAGAGACCCAAATAACTAAAACAAAACAAAATAATAATAATAAGATGGTATTAAGTCAATTGGGGGCCTGCTTCCAGTAAAACAAACAAAGGATGGAGGCCTGGGATTAAGCATTACTTTTTATTTCCAGCAGCTAACATCACTGCAAACAGGTCACCCATTTTATGCTGCGACTAATTTTTGCCAGTATCAATCAACCAAAATGAGGTGGATGGAAAAAAGATGTGGTGGCCAGTAGGGAAATAAGTATGTGGGACATAGTCTGTCATTTGTGAGGCTCAAAGTGATGCCACTACAGATGCCAATGCATTGATGGAGTTCTCAAAATTTGTAAATTCAGACTGTCTACACCATCCTTTGAGCATTTAGAAATAATTAACAAGAAGACCTCAAGAGGATAACAAAAGGGTCTACATGGCTCTTTATGTATTGATCTTTCCCAGCAAATAAATGCCATGTGAATATTAAAATGTCTAGTAACTGAAGAAAAAATCCCTTAAAAGACATTCATTTAATTTACAACAAACCAGTTAATGAAGAGCAGACCTACAACCACAATGACACCTACCTGTGCTGGACTGGACCACACCAGAATCCACATGCTGCCCCATCAGATCATATTGGTTTAATCTGGATCCATCCTCTGCCACCACTACAGACTGGGCAGCCCCTCTAGTCCACACATACACCACCTCAGCTCTAGTGTAGGCATCTGACAAGAAACAAAAGAGTAAGAAGTTATGAATTATTGTGCTCCTGGTGTCTTGCCGTCCCTAGCTGCCTTGAACATTATATTTTTGGAGCTGCCAGGGATACCAGGTGGAAAAAAAGATAAATCTGAAGTGATGTCTTGCTCTTAATTCTTCATGTCCTACCTCATCTCATTTTGTACCATCCTGTCTTCTTGTCTGCTATTCTCCCATTTTACCACCTCAGTGCTGTCTATCATGGCTTATTTGCTATCCAAGCACATTATGCCCCTTTTTTATCCAGTGAGTTTCCACAGACCTTAGAAAACATTTTTTCCAATTATCTTTATTATATTATTATTTTTTTGTCTATGGCCTATATATATTTTATATCTTCTCACATGTGTTATAATGTGAGTTGATGTTGTGTCACATTATGTCATGACACATCATGTCATCTCTTAATTTTTAAGAAAACAAGCAAACAACCTCCCATCAGGACAACATGACCTTAAACCAGACAAGTCAGTCTATTCTTCCCTCCGGCCACCCAACCTGTCAAAGCTGCAGTGTGGCTCCACCACTGCAGAGAAAAGGATGGCTCAACTGCAGACTGCAGCATAAGGAAGAGAGCTCATCACTAAAATATTTAGGGAGTGAGTTCAATTTAAAAGCAGTTAAGGCTTGGTCCTCTCAGTCACGCTGTGCAGCTGTCTGAAAAGTGGCACAGAGACGGTGTTACATTCACTTCTCTATTGGCTTAGTTTTGCCACATTCATATTTTTTTCTTGATATTCTTTATTTGTGTCTCTTTTCTTCTTGTTTTGTTTTTTCAAATGTAATATAGGGTACAGGTAGCTGTCACCAGTGAACAGTTGGCAAAGTACTATCAATACTATCTAGAGTACTCCAATAAACACAGGTCTACACTTCGCGTGTCTAGCAGGATAAGCAACAAACTCAATTTCAAAAATATTTGGGAGGCTGTAAAAAATGTTAATAATAACAAAATGCAGTGATTTGCAAAATCAAATAATTTGAAAATCATTATTCACAATACAATGTCATCATCATATGTACGATTTTAAGGAAAAAAAAGGTAATTTTGAATTTCATGACAACAATTTATCTCGAAAAAGTTGGTACAGGGACATGTTTACTATATTTACCACTGTGTAGCATCCAATCATCTTTTAAAAATAGTCCATAAGCATCTAAGACCCGAGGAGACCAAGTAACATTTGGTCTCCAAGATGTTAGCAGTAGCGAGGTGAGGGCTCCGTGGATCGGACTTGTTTGTTCAGCACATCTCACAGATGCTTGATTGGATTGAGATCTGGGGAATTTGGAGGTCACGTGAACACCTCAAACCAATTGTTGTGCTCATCAAACTATTCCTGAAACATGCTTGCTTTGTGTTAGGGTAAAAAATCCTCCTGGAAGAAGCCACAGTGATCAGGGAATGACCTTTCCATGAAAGGACCTAGATGGTCTGCAGCAATTCTTAGGTAGCTGCTTGTCAAAGTAATATCCACATGGACCTAAGGTTTCCAGGCAAAACGTTGCCCAAAGCATTCCATAGTCCATCCTGGTGCCAGGTGTTCCCCAGGTAAGCAACACACATGCACCAAGTCCACACATCCACATGATGTAAAAGAAACCATGATTCATGAAACCAGCTACCCTTTTCCTCTGTTCTTCTTCATTGCTGGTGCTTTCAGTGGTGGACAGGGATCTCTTCAGATTTTATAAATCTTGTGATATTATGTACTAGTCTGCAGCTTTGAAGCCCCATATGTAACAAACTGTGATGCACGGTGTTTTCTGACACCCTTCTATTACAACCAGCATTAACTGTTTCTGCATTTTGAGCTACAGTACCTTGTCTGTTGAATCGGTCCACACGTGCTAGATTTCGCTCCCCCTAAACATCAATGAGCCTTGGCCATTCATTACCCTGTCTGTGGTTAACCACTGTTCCTTCGTTAGACCACTTTTGATAGATACTGACAATTGGAGACCCCGAACACCCAAAAACAGCTGCAGTTTGGAAGATCCTCTGACTGATTTGTTTAGGCATCAAAATGTGGCCCTTGTCAAACTCACCCAAATTCTTATACTTGCCCATTTTTCCTGCTCCTAACATGTCAACTTTGAGGACAAAATGTTCACTTGCTCACTAACACATCACACTCACTGACAGGTAATATAACCAGGAGATAATGATTGTTATTCACTTTACCTATCAATGGTCAGAATTCTATGCCTGTATGTACTATGCCGTTTAGCATGGTCTTGGTGAAATATATAAGGCCTTTATTTGTATTAATAGACAGCAATTTCTATAAATGTTCCTGACCCAAAGATCGCAGGCATCCTAGATTTATTTTTGGACTTGCCCCTTGCGCACAGAGATTTCTCCAGATTTTATAAATCGTGTGATATTGTGTACTGTAGATGCTGGAGTATCCATGAAATTGTTCCACAATTTGTAGACAGTTTTTTTTGGAGACGGTCAATCTCTGCCTGTCTTTAGTTCTGAGAACTTCTGCCTCTACAACATGCTTTTTTTTTTTACATACCCAGTCACTGTTACTGATCTGTTCTCAGTTAACCCAAATAATTTCAAAATGTTCTTTCAGTTATTTCTTTTTAGTAACATTTATTTCTGACCTATCCCAACGTTTATAACACATGTTGCTTCCATCAAACTTTAAAGTGAACTAATATTTTTCCATCAAATAGCATACGGTCTCAGTTCAAACATTTAATGTTTTCTAGTTTTTTAATCTGAAGGAAATAGGGCTTTAATGGATTTGCAAATCATTGCATTTTGTTTTAATTTCCACAGGATTACACAGTGTTGCAAGCTTTTTGAAACCTAACTTGCATAAGATTATAAGTGACAACAGAGGCTACTTACAGCTGCCAAACTTCAATGGACAAGCATGAGCATCCATAGGGAAGTCCTCTAGATGCATAGGACATTCTGCTCTTACTGTAAGCCTAGAAAATGTTCACAAAGACATGGGCAGTGAATTAGAAAAAAACAGAGTATAGAGGAAAACAGAGCATGTGGCAAAGCGGGCAGAAAAATAATGAAAGTGTGATGACAGTAGAATTAAGGCAGAATGACAATTCATTACAGTTAGGCACAAGAAACATGTGGTATATTATTCTTCTTTCCAGTCTGTTGGGACCAGCGCCTGTTGAACGAAGCTCTACTACTTTTCCCCAAACCAACAGAAGTGCTCCAGTTCCCTGAGCTGTGAGTTTCTATTTCCTGACAGCCTGGTGAAAAACAGCATGTCAGGCCACCCGTGACACACTAATCTCCCATCTATCCCTCATCTCACTCATCTGTGACAGCAATATGAGCTCCGCCTATCACCCCTCCCCCTGCTAGTAAACATGTTGAAACAAATGCTTTATGATCCTTGCTTTAGACATCTCACATTAGCATCAGTCTGTTTTGTGCATCGAGGTTTGCACTGTCATAAATGTTTTTTTTAACCAACTCTGTGGAAGGATACCGAGGTGTCACACCTTATCAACTCGATGGTTCATGCGGTATCTTCAAAGCAATAAATCATAATATGGTTAAAAAATAAATAAATAAATACAAATGTATTTTCCTGACGAATGCTATTGCAGTTACAATGACATTAACATCTGTGCTGGAAATTTATGGTGCCTTAGCGTAATACAGACATTAAAATGCAAGCATTGAAACACTTCATCAATGTGACAGAACTTAAAAATATAAATATAGTTGTATGGTAAATCATATTTGTGTGAAGGAGCCAAAAAAAAGTATATTCCTTATATTAAATGGGGTAGATGCAGTGCACATAAAACATCAACTCAGATAACACTGTCGACAGCCCTTTCCAGAACATAGTGACTTGTAACATGAAGCTTTTTTCCCCAGTATTTCATACCTTTTAACACATTCTAATGCCAAACACCAAGACCTGACCTATAGCATTTGCAAGTTTAGCTGACAAAATCCAATGATGACCACCAAATCCATTAAAAATACATGAATAAAGACAACCTTGGATGACATTATCTTTCATTATTATGACCATGGCATTTAAAATTTATTATGAATCAATCGAATATAAATTTTTACTTATTAATACACCAAATGTGTCTTGAGAAACAAAAAATTTAATAAATAACGGGCTGTTGTGTCTGAGTCGTGTGCTATAAACGTTTTCTAGCTGGACACAGAAAATACAAAACCTTGTTACTGGTTTATGGTGCCTTGTCACTGGGGCAGTACCATTTGATGTGTGTCCTTGACAGGGGGTAATTATTTGTGGTTTGCATTTTATAGAGCTCAGTCTTAAACCTCTGGTGACAATTTTATACCGTAATGTAAAAAGTACAGAAATGGACCTTCTAAAAAAAATGCTAAATAAGGGGGCATTCATTATTTTACACTGTGCATTTTTATTATCATTTATTCATACACTTGGAAACGCTTTCCTAGTCTTACTCATGAATTACAAGGTGCTTATAACACACGTCTTCAGAATGTGGAAAAAAAAAAAAAGCAGAGCACTGTGCCTTTAGTGAGAGCTCTCCAGTACCTTTTTTTACTGCTTGGGAACAAATTTATCTCTTTTAGACCTTCAAAAAAGATACACATAGTTACTTTGAGGTCCAGTTATTAGTACTAGGGGATACATCTGTGTGGCTTGCAGCTGTAGGGACTGACATGAACTTTTACTGTCCTCATCAAACTATGTCAGACTTTTTTTTTTGATTTTTAAATACATGGTCTTGGGAAGGACTGACACAACTAGAACAGGGAGTTCAGAACTTGAAGCGAAACTCTAGGCTAAGTAATTTCACATCATTCCTCACAATTTCTCCACATCAGTCTTCCATAACTGAATTCTTCTTTTTCAGCTAAGACCATTAAGATCTACTGTTCCTTTAGCCCAGATTCCTCATCAAATGATGCATGTAATGAAATAATACCAGTCACTTTTCAGTCAATCTCAAAACATTATATAGTTCCTTTTAAAATCTTTATTGCACCAGTGCAGTAGAATACATTGGCCTACCTCATGGTATAAAGTAGTGTGCCTTCCTCTGTGATTCGCAGAAGCTTGTTTGGCATGGTCATGTTGTGCGCCACTGACTTTTTGCCATTGTGGAAGAAAGTATCGGGGGTCCAGATCTTGCTGGCCATCAGGTTGTTGAGACGTAGCACAGCCATGGGGCCTTTGAACTTTAATCTTTCATCCTTCCAGCTTTGTCTGAAGAACACATCAATTGTGTACTCCTACAAGAAGCAGGTGTGGCACAGACAAAAAAAACACAAGTCAACAAAAAGTCGTGCTCCACCACCTTGTAGCAGTTTTCTTTGTACTTTTACCTTCAGCTGGCTTGAGGAAGATGCTGAGTAATCTAACCTCATTTTTCCCCTGTTGCCATGTTCTCACTTTTCTTCTCTCTTTTTTTTCTTCTTTTTGCCTCATGTCACTTTGACTTTCTTATGGTTGGCCTAGTTTCCCTGCTGGTAACTGTCTTTTTACATTAACGGTTTTGCCGAACATAAAGAATCTAGTGGATAGAAGAAGAAGGTTTCCTGGCTGGTAAGTGTATTCTTTTTTTTAAAGAATGCCTCCTTTGTACAGTAACTTTGCTGTGTTTCAAACAGTAATATGTGGCTTTGCCTTTCCATTTTCTTCTTTTATGTTATTTACATAATTATTGTCTGGTCAGTTTAATGTGCCCTATGCAAATACAGAATCATTAATTATCTGGCCATTTGGTTTTGCATTGTCAGGTAAGTGCCAAAAATGATCATTGTTAGCATTTATCTTTGGGGGGACTTCTTTGCTCAGTAATCTAAATTACACCGGACACAAAAAGGAAGCACTGGACACAAAATTAGGAGGACATTTCATTTTCAAGCCAGCTAATGACTAGCTGAGAGCAGATTTTAATGGTTCCACATGACCGCCCGGCAGAGTAAAGGGAGCCAGTAAAAATTACAGAACAGCGTGGGGTTTTTTTTTTATTCTCCCCCGCCTCTTTGCCTCTCAGTTCTCGTAAGATAATTAGTATGAAGTGAAACAGAGCTTCAAGGCAATAAAGCAGGATAGGGAAAGGCTAGAGATGGAGAAAATGTTCCTCAGCTCTTCCTTCTGGCTTTAACAGAAGCAAAATAGTTGTGGCCTGTATGTCAACCAGTGCAATTAACTGAGATTATATCAAACAGAGCAGACACACTTCACGTGCTTATAACAGGAGTGTTTTTTTTTTTTTTTATCAAGGCTGGGTAGTGAGTCGTTTAAATGAGATTAATTGGTTTCTGGTGAACAGGGTAAAGATCACTTGTGTTGGAACAACTTACATTTTGTGTGTGTGTGTGTGTGTGTGTGTGTGTGTGTGTGTGTTTTCAGGTTGAATGTTAAATAAGACAAAAAAAATAAAAACGTTTATTAATATTTCTTTGCATTTTGTAGCTTCTTGTAATTTCAGATGGGTTCAAATAGCTTGACCTTTCAAACTGCAGAAAAACACAATAAAGTATGACTTGTTTTTAAATCAGATTAAACTTTAAGCTTGTCATAATCAATCACTCATAATCACAATTTTGCTTGTTATTGTATTGATTTGTTCTTAATTATACTTTAGTTCATGTGAATGTTCCAAAATAATGCAAGTAATTTTATTGTCTATCCTTCCAACTTGTACAAGAAGGATATTTGAGGCTTTTTTTTTGTAGTATACACTGGTACCACAGCATTTTTGTAGCATGAGCTTACAAACCATGAACCGGAAAATTTAGTTTGCAGGTGACAGTTTTATTAACACATCATAAGTTAATAGAATGAATCTACAAATCAATAGATATTTCACAGCTTAATGAACACTGTGTCCAGAAAGGCTATAAGGCAGGGCTAAAGATGGAGGGGAGGAATACCAGAAAACTAATGACATTTATAGAGGCGAAAAGAGTCTTACCATGTCATGGTCCGAAACTGGCCCAATACTAGTCACGAAAATGTCAGTCTTGACTTCAGTTACACGCTCTGTTGAAGCAGGAAATTGCTGAGTGAGTGACTATCAGTGGCATTCATTAGCTTCTAACTACCTGTTAACACAGGACCACCTGGCTATAGCCTCTGAAGCACTAAATCTATTCGGAAATATTTTTAGCACTTAGACATGCACACAAGAAACAAACAAAAAAACAAAACATTTAAAAAAATGTCCACTTTGGATGTCAATAACCATTTCTGTTGTTATTGAAACTGGACAGGGCTTTAATCTCTTAATAAATTTGTGCATTGCTGCATTGTTGGAAATGTGCCATTCTAGTCCCATAATGCTGATAGCCAAAATGGGACCACTGAGGATTCATTTGGAATGGGCTGCAGAGAGCGTGTGTGTGTGTGTGTGTGTGTGTGTGTGTGTGTGTGTGTGTGTGTGTGTGTGTGTGTGTGTGTGTGTGTGTGTGTGTGTGAAAGGTTTGTGGCAGAACAATTTATGAATGATACCCATCATAATCCATAATTTCTTCCCCTTGGCTGCTGAACTTCTAGCAGGCGTTGTTTTATTCGCCTGTCTGTTTGATGCCTGCTGCATCATACTGTGCAATCCTCAGTGTCCTTCACACACTAATTCTCACATCATCACTCCCTCCTTTCCCTTTTACTCTCTGTTTTTCTTTCTTTATCTAGTTTGCACCTTTTCATTTCCTGGATTTGTCCTTGAATTCCTGCCATTTTGCTTCCGTCTTTTGTCAATGGATAGTTGACAATAGAAGGAACAAACACACACAAAAGCAGGATAGAAGGGCCAGGTCTCAGATTGTTTTACCTTTTAAAGTCTGACACTTACTGCAAGCTCCCCTCTGTAACATTTAAACCCTTGGAGATTATTCTATTGCAAGTAAAAAAAAAAAAAAAGACAAACAGCAGCCATTATGTGGGACAAAATATATGCAATGACTTGGGTTTACTGACCTCCTAGTCCTGGCCTGAGGCGATTGTCATAGCCATCCAGAAGGCTGTCTAAGATCTTTGTGAAGACTGTAGTGTTATCTTTCTGTTGATCTGTCATGCCGTTCTGCCCAGAGCTGGGAACGCAAAGAATAAGATTTAAAGTCACAGCTAGAATCTAAAACCACAGTCAGAACTATCAACTGTGTAAGAACAAACTGTATTATAAATCAAAGGGGGAAGAAGGACGGTTTCAGCTTTGTAGTTAATGCACATGGGTAGCGTAAATGCAGCGTGAATCACATTGTGATAACACAAAGAAAACTCAGCCAAATCCTATATGACACTGACAAATTTAGCTGCTAAATTAGAATTCAGTGTGTGAGCACGAGCATAAGGTTTCAGATCATATTGATATGAAATAAATAAGCAAGTGATTGTTCAGAGGTGGACTGGAAACGAACGTATCCCATGAGGCCAAGTTTTTCTCTACTATTAGCACATTCTCACTTCCAAGTCATCACTGACGCTTGGTCAGAACCACTTGGCGTAACATGTTCACACACTATAGCATTACATTCCAAAGCACAGATTACATTTTTGCCAGATGACAAAGTATAGCAACTGAAAAAAATGACTGGATAAATTGAACTTGGGCTAGTGGATAGCATTGAAGAGCGCTAATATTCAGTGTGATAGCAGGAGTTCCAGTTTCTTTGGCTTTTGTTTTGAAAAGTAGAATGGGAGGCAGAGCCTTCAGTTTTAAGATTAGACTTAAAACTTTATTTTGGCTCACATGACCCTGAAACCTCCCTTGGTTACACTGCAATAGGTTTAGGCTGCTGGGGGATTCCAATGATGCACTGAGTGATTTTCTGCATTTAATTATTAATTATTATTAATCTCTGGATCCTTTCACAGCATGTCTCTCTCTTGTCTTCATTTGCTCACCCCTAACCGGTCGGGGCAGATGGCTCCCTCTGAGCCTGGTTCTGCTAAAGGTTTCTTCCTGTTAAAAGGGAGTTTTCCTTCCCACATCCGCCAAAGTGCTTGCTCATAGGGGCTTATATGACAGTTGTCGTTTTCTGTTTTTTTGTATTATTGTAGGGTTTATATCTTACAATATAAAGCACCTTGAGGCAACTGTTGTTTGATTTGGCCCTGTAGAAATCAAATTGAATTGAACTGATTTCAAATAAACATTAGTTTTGACTTATTAGTCTCAGTTACTATATGGTTAGGTTTAGGAGTAGAACAACTTTACATGTTAGCCACCTCTCTGCCATTGTCTCATCCCATAACAGTGATGGCACAGCAGAGTGCATTTGGCTATAGTTTTACAGGCCACCATGCACAATGACAAATGGCTCAAGGGGTATCCAGTGTGTTAAAATGCTACGCCAAGGGGGGTCCATCCCAAACGTCAGTATGTGTTGACTTGATAGTGAGACCAATTTGACACTGGATTTATTTGTTTATTATTAGTGGGGCGTGTGGGCTGCATAGCATGTACCGTATGTGTATGTGCACACACAGCTTTTAGGTACACTCAGCAGAGAAAATAGAGAGTGAAATACAGAGTAGACATAGAGAAACCATAATACATTATTGATGCCTTAATATGGTCTTTTGGATCACAAAGGCCTTGCTGAATGTGCTCTTTGAACAACATGAAACAAAATGCTTAGAGCAATGCTGAAAACACTCACAATCAGTAATTGTTAGAGGAGGGTTTGCATCTCCACACATAAATATTTCAACGCACTCATAATCTGGGATACAGCCCCTAATTACAATGTGTAGCACAAGGACTGCAGTGAAAGAGCACGTGTGTCTATGAAGGAATGCATGCATGTACCATCTGCACCCACAAGCTTCCATATATGAGAGCACAATGATTATCTTCAACAGCATATTTTATTCTGCTATCATCTTCGCCTCCTTTGCTGTGCCAAAAGGATTTGGTTTGATTGCATGCAAAATAAACAGCAAGTGTTTGGAAACAAGCTCTGCTAGCTGAAAAGCTCCAAGGAGAGAGAGAGGTCATCGAGATTAGTTAGCGGGGACCTGCAAAAGGTTGGAGGGAAAAGTAGGAGGGGTGGGAGAGTGACGCCTATTAAGAATGGGAGTTAAAGCTTCAATGTATAGTCTAAAAAGACAAAAAACAAGGGAATAGTGACTCAAAAGCCTTGGAAAAGTGAAGATACAGTTTCGACTGCCACAACCACATAGATACATAGTTCTCAAAAAAAGCTATAGGTCTGAGGCAGAGCCTACAGATTTCAACATTAACGTGCTAAACACTTCTTTGTAAATAAGGATGCACCATCCACATCCGCATGGGTTTTTAAGAGATGCTTAATCTAACTCTGCCTCCAGTTTCCCTTAATTCACAAGTGTCCACTTTTCTCTGAAAATTAATAAATACATTTAAAAAAAGCATTCAAACTTTAGAGACTGATGAGCAATTTCTTCGCCCATAAACACAGTCGGTAACTGCTTTGAAGTGCTGTAATTCAAAATAATAATAATTTTTTTCTTTTTTGTTCTGGTCTGAGGAGCCAATTATGTATAAAAACAGACAGCACAAACCGCATACATGGCACATCAGCTAAGACTAAAATAAATCACAGTCTACTTTGCCTTAGTTTTGTGTATTTCCCATTTTTACAGTATTTATCTGGTATTTTTCAGATTTGCCAAACTAGAGTAAGACACCCCAAAATATAGCCTTCCTCTTATAATCTCCACCAATATAGAATACAAGCCACACTCCTTTACGGTCAACAGGTATTTAACAGGATGCAATGAAAATATTCATAATCGGTAAAACTAATTGGAAAAATTCACTGTCAATCTATCTATTAAATCATTTTTCACATTTCTTGAATGATATTTATTTTATCTTAACTTGACAAACTGTGATCTTCATTAGGGGCAGATATTTTTTAAGCTATATGTGGGAAATAGTTGAGTGTAGAGGTTAGGTTGTATGTCAAGGACAAGAAAAGAATACAGAAAAAAGGTGATGTGGAAGAATACACATGTTTATCAGCCAGGGGCTACTTCCTACTGAAACATTGTACACCATCCCCATCTACAGGTCATCTGAACAGCAACAATGCTGCTCACACACTCTCTGCCAGTGTCTCTCTTTCTCTGTTAACCTGTATCTGTCTCTCTCTTTCTCCCTCCTTCGCTCTCTCTATATCTGTCTATCTTGTCAGCCGGATATCTAATTATAAGGCAATTTCTTTCGTTGGCAACATGCTGTAGCAGAGTTCTAGGTCTTCCTGATTACCGTGTCTTGTTGAAATCCCCCAAGGTGTGTGTGTGTGTGTGTGTGTGTGTGTGTGTGTGTGTGTGTGTGTGTGTGTGTGTGTGTGTGTGTGCGCGTCTCTGTGTGTTTGTGTTCGTGATTTTATATTTGACTTCAAAAAGGGGACTGGATTATACAGTAAATCTTTGGGTGATAATTGCTTAGCAGTTTGCGTTGACAGTTCCTCAGTAAGGTAATGAGTACTTTTAGATTTTCTCTAATGTACAACATATCAAACCCCATGAATCAGACCCTCTATTTGCAAGTCAGTGCTTTGCAAGCTAAAGCTGCTGTTGTGTTTAATTGGAAACAATGAGTTAAAAATACAGAGATGCTGCAATTCATCAAATATTTAAAATGGGAAACATTTTATATGTCTTCTGCATGTTCTCAAGGCGTGTTATCTGAGACACAACCTTCATGCTCCATGTGTGTTTTTGTGACACAGAAAAAGCATTCTGGACCATCAAGTCATCTCCAGTGAAGTTAACTGCCTTCCTGGATTATTCAGCTGTGAGGCAGATCCAATCCCTTTAGTTTCTCCAATATTGTACACGTGATTTAAAAAGGGGTTAAAGTTCCAATGGTCTTATTTAATAAATCACTTGTCCTTTTGGAACGGTCTGATTTGTGTTCTTGAATCTTTAACCGTATGCTTTTATGTTTTCTCGCTGTTGAATCGTATGGGAATTAATGCATGGCAGTATTTTTTTTTAAATTGTGTCATGTCTTTTCAACTTTCCTCTCCCTCTCTGTCCTTGCTGGTTTGCTTCAGGTTTAGCTGACGTCCAACACTTCAGTGTTGACACTGAGAAGAAGTGTGTGTAACTCAACCCCCGCTGTCCCTGAAGCCACCGTCAAAAAACACATGTGCAATAACCCTTGCCAAATGTCTCTGTGCAACACACACCATCTACTGTACACAACCCAGGACTGAAATCTAGGAATGTAAATGTGTCCTGCATGGCTAGTGAACCAAAAAAAGTGTAACACTGTGATAAAGCTGATAGAGGCTATTTTGGCTTTCATCTTCCCCCCACTATGCGCCACTTAATATTACCACTATGCAATTAAAAGCATGGAGGTGTCCTGTGAGGATGCCCCAGTTACAACCACAGTGAATATGCTTTGATAGAGAGGAGCCCAATACACCAAGCAATAGGTAGTAAGACAGACTATCAGCATTTCAGGTGAACAGAACTAGTTACCTCCATGTTTAGCTGATTCACTGACATATTTACAGTACAAGCCTGTTGACCATTTTGTAAGCAAAGACACCAGCTTTAAAAGGTACTTCTGCTTTTTCATAAAAGTGCCCACAATTATTTTTTATTTTTTGCCTGATGCAATCTGATGTTCAAATCGTGATGTGCAATTAGAGTTCCAATAATAGCATGATCGTATGGGCTGTATCTATGCCTACAAGAATGACCACCCTCAACATTGTTTTTCCCCCTCTAGCACTGTGCAAGCCTTCAAAACCAAAACATGTTAACAGTGTGAAGACATAGATATGAATCTGTGAGGCATCTTATGCAGATTTGTGACTTTAATGATTTGTCCAGTGAATCCGATAGAAATACAGGATATGTGCAATCACAAGTTCAAGTTTATTCTTACCTTTTCCCAAACAGTACGCTGTTGGTAAAAAGCAAGCAAGCCCACAGATACAGAAAGAGCGTCCGGCCCCGTCCACACATGGTTGCAATATGAAGACCTTTCACTGCTGGGGTTCAAAGAGAGAGAGCGAAAGACAAAGAGAGAGAGAAAGAGAGAGAAAGAGAGAGAAAGAGAAAGAGAGAGAGAGAGAATGGACATCATTATCAAGTCATATGAGCCAGTGGCACACCGTTATTCCTAATATTTCAGTGTCAGCAAATAGGATGTGGTAAAACACCAGCAAACATGATTATGGACCAGGATGCTTTATGTGAGGTTTTTTGGTCCTGACTCTCAACATCACTAACAGATTCACTGACAGCACATGAATCAAAAACCAAATAGCCAAGCCACATGCACTGATGTACTGGGCCATTACATCCAACATTACATCAAAGATTTGACATCAAATTTTGCATTACATGTCACGTTGACAGAGCCACATTCTACACCCAAGCCACGAGAGAGATAAGAACTGATCAACGTTTTGATTACCAAAAAGGCATACGGTGTAAACACATTTCTCATAATTGATGCTTAATCCATATGCATAGGATATGGCTGCATCTGTAGCGCATAATAATTAAGCAGAAATAACAAGGAAACACATCACTGACCACATAACACCCCCGTGAGCTTGTAGCACCTGTACACAGCCTCCTCTAATACCCTATAATTTGAAACTGCGTTACCGCAGTATTAAACCAAATCGCCCTAAAAGACCAATATTTGCATCTTCTCTATTCATTTAGCTGTGGCAGTCGGGTCATAAAGTGTACAGACGATAGAAAGGGTTATTGTGCATGTAGATCACAATGCCCCAAATCACAGTCCATTCCTGAAAGCATATTCAGTGTGTCCACGAGAGGGCCAGTTACTAAGTTATTTTAAAAAAGCGCTAAAATTTCACAAACGACCATAAAATGGTGCCAAAGAACCACAGCCCAGATAGAAGACAATACCCCTGATACTTGGCTGTGGTGTGCCAAGATGCACAGTGAGCGGGATGCACAGTGAGATGAACATGCACTGCTCTGTTAAAATGAAATGAAATGAAAATAAATCCCGAGGCTGACAAGGACTTGATAAACGAGGATACTACAGATTAAGGAACGGAGGAGAAAATCCCGCATAGGCACACTTTCTAAGTTATTCAGAGGAAATGTCACCCTGTCCCCAACAACATATGAATACATATTTGACACGGACAGACATTTGGCATGCAACTGGCATCGTTGCATGGATGGTCTAAATACATGCATGACGATCGGATTCGTGCGTGGCAGAGTAATTAAGCAAATGTACGTTGATGCTATTTTATTCGGAGCGCTGTCCGTGGTGATGAAGCCAAGCTGCCTCCCTTCAAAACATCAAGCAGCTCGTGTTCTCCATAGAAATCATTTTTTTAAAAATCGCCCAAATCGCTTCTAATTTCGACGACAAACTGCCCCTTTCTCCCCAATAAAACTCGTCTTCGGTTATAGCGGTGTCCAGCAACAAACCATCCCTTTCTGAATCCGACTGTTCTCTGGCGCTTTTGCCTGACAGAAAGGCGAGAAGAAAAAAAACCGAAGAAATCACTTACAGCTGATGAGTCGGGGTATATTCGTTGCCCGCTGCCTATATCCTCAAACTTTTACGAATAGCTTTTCTAGCCGGACTGAATGAGAAAAAAATCCTCTGTGATCTCAGATCTGACGAATTTTAGCTTGAGGCTGGAGAAGCGGCTGCTGACGATATGCGCAGGTCTCTCTCACTGTTCATTGGTGGTGCCGTAGTGAGTTCAACTCTCAGTCTGTCAGCAGCAAAGAAAAAAAAAAGAAAAAAAGGAGAAATCTTCTGCTAAACTACCAAATCTGGTCTGTGTACCGACATCCCCCTCCAAATTATTGCTGTTCACCGACCGTATCTGTAAATAAAGCGCACACCAAACAGACTATGTCCAAGCGCAGACTATTTAATTTTAGAATAGGCTGTGCAGACCTAATATAAAGAAAAGCCCGCCCATTTTATATGCAGCACAATTTAACTTCCACTGCTGTCGCACTAATCTCTTTTCACTGGCTGCTAAATAAAAATCCTCTTACATTTTTTGATTGGAATTCCTTGTTATTTTTTCACCATCTCGCTCTCCCTCTCTCCCTGACTCCTACGTGATGATTTCCAAAGAGATTATATTGACATTCATCAAAAAGACCGTCTCACGACCTGAAACAGCTAGGACATCGTATGGACAAGAGTTACGGCTATAAAACGGACAGTGAGTTCTCGCAATGAAGAGGAAAAATGAATTAAAAAACGATGCTATGGCACAGATTCCCGCGCACCAGCGGGGGGAAAAGACACATCCACAATGTTAAGAAAATCGTGTTCCCTCACCAGCTTGCACTGATGACACGAGCTTCTCTCTCTGCAATAAAAAAAAAATCCTCCTCGAATCACTCGCCGTCTACTAAAAACCCACGTTTCGCATCGAGACCCCAACACTGTTTCTGTTTACAGCCAAATATTCTGCTGCTACAGCCGCGCCGCTCCAGACTGAGCACAGAACGACGAGGAGCGCTGAGCTGCGTGCATCTGCAAGGGAGGGAAAAAAAACGAGCTTATGATAACCGGCGTATATTTTTGTAGTCGTCTGCGTATTTCAAGTTAAACTACAAATCAGGGGACATTTTCATCACCAAGGACTCTGAAAGAAGGCATAAGTGGAAAGCAAGGGCATTCTTATGGGCAGTTTACATCATATCACTATGACTGATGGTCGCATAAGCCTCTTATAAATCTCGTCTGTTGATCCTAGAATGATTTTGACAGAGGAACAACTCTTTTTTTCGCCTTCAGTTTTGACTGGGGGTTTATTTTCATCAGAGCAGGCAGAGTGAGCTGGCAGTGTAGTCACGTCAGTCTGGTCTGCAGTGCAACGTTTCCTCTGTGAGCGTGAGTGTGTGTATGTGTGTGCCTCTTCACGCGTGGTTAAAGTAGTGCATGTGAGTGATTAGTTGTGACGGACGTCATGGGTTTGTATGCCTCCTTTATGTCTGTATTCAATAAGACATGTCTTTCATCTACCTATCTATCAATCTATCTATGAAAATGTATTCCACAAGGACCCCTACCACCATATCCACTACCTCACACACGCATACACACACTTGCACTCTGCCCATTCCGCTCTTAACCTGATGCTGCACGGGTGTGTGTTTGTGTATATATATTTAACAGGTCCACAACCCCACCCAGCTCATAATGCTATCAGAATGCAAGTGGGGTATCGTCTCAAGCTGCCTCCCTTCTCCCAAAGCCAGACGCCACCGCTGCATGTGACTCGATTTGAGCGCATGCACAACCAACACGTGCCCGTGTGCGCTCAAATCGACGCGCACGCCCGCGATGGATAGTGGAGAGGGAAAAGTATGACTGTCGTTGCTTCCTCGCCTCCTCCTCCTTCTCCTCCTCCTGGCGTTTTATTAACCTTCCGTTGTGCCGAAGAGGGGGACTTCTTCTTGGGGAACAATGTAGAGCCTCTACCAAACATTGCAAGTGATCAGTTAAGATGAATATCTAGGGACTCCGCTTAAACAAATGGCAAACAAAGGCGACTTGGCTCCTCACAGCTCCATCTCTGGACAGGTGATGGGAACGGATAGTGAAGTGAGCTGTGTGTATGTGTTTGCAGAGAGAGATGGATGATGGTAATTTAGGTGAGAGGTGTGCAGGTTATGTGGGAATAATCACTCGCTGTGAACAGTGTTTTTGAATTTTGAAAGAAGCGTTGAGTAACTTCGCCTCCACCCCCTCTCACTTCCCCTCTTCCTTCCTTTTGTGCATCCATCAAAGTGCTGTATGTGGTGATAAGTTGTTTCATTTTACACAATCTTAAAGTACTGACTGCGGTAAATTGGCTTTCATACACCACGTGTTGCAGTCTTGTATTAATGACACATTAACGCAAATAGCAACCAGCTGCCAACTCCTCTATGTGTTCACAGAGTCAATATGTTTTTGCATTCTCTGTTGCCCAAGTGCCACGTGACCGCACATGCCAGAAGACAGTTATTTGCTGTTTGGGATGTTCTGTGGATGCGCTTGAAGCATCAGGATTGTTGTGTCTCAGAGAAAAAGTGGCCCATGACCCTGAAAGCTTTTACTGTACTCTTATTTTAAGTTTAGTCAACACATGCGGTCTCACTGTGACACAATCTTTAACACCTCAGCTTTATTTGTAGCTCCAGTCTAATTTCAAATTATTTGCAGGCTTTGAAGAACATTTAAAAAATAGATGAAGCATGATATGAGAGAGTCCCAGTATATTTCTTGAGGAGTATGCACATCACAAGGCAAAAGTGTCTTAATTTGGGATGTGACGTCACTAGATTGGAAATCCAGTCTCCATGATTCTGGGCTGTTCTAGCCAATTGCACATTTTAGCTTTGTTTAGTCCACTCTAGATTACTCTGTCCATATGCAACAACAGGCAGGGCTCCCCCCTTGGCTGACTCCATCTAAGGCTCTACCAGGAGATAGAGATGGAGATATAAACTCAAGTGCAGTACTTTATTTCAATTACTGCAGTGAAGGGTGATTTGCACTTGCCTTTTTTATTATCCACAGGGCTAGTGCATTTCATGGTGTCAGTTGGTTTAAACTCTGGTGCTGGTGTGGCCTTTGAACCTGGATGTAAAGTACTGTGGAAATGTCTTGAATCATTCCTTATTTCTTTATGTTTTAATTCCAAAGAGTCAGACCTTTTGCCATTTTGAAAGAGGTCTTGACCAGTAGTTCTCCAGGCTTTCTGAATGTCTGTCAAAGTTTTTCTTTGGGCATTGAGTGCCTTTTTACTCATTTTCAAACTGCACAGTTTGCAGTTTGTCCCTTGAAAGATGGAAGAAGCTGGACAAGCGGAGGCCTAAAACAGCAGATGAACAGTATCCTTAAGAAATAGAAAATAAAATCATGCAAAGACGTGACATGGGACCTGAGAGATGCATTTGTGTGATCTATCCACAGTTTGCCAAAACCTCTTCAGACATGCTCTTAATGAAAGGGTACCTGATAGGTAATTATTCTTAAGCAAGGAAACAGGGAGAAAAGGCTGAGGTATGCCACATTACACAATAACTGGACTAAAATTAGCAGCGGGTTTTATGGATTTATGAATCAAAATGTTAAATTGTTTGTTCAAATCATTATCAGTATGTATTGATGATGTCAGGAGAGAAGTGCAACAGTGAGTGTCTACAGCCTTCTGTAAGACATGTTGGAGGCTCTGTCATGGTTTGGGACTAGATTTCAGACAGTGGTGTTGTGGATCTTGTCAAACATGATGTAATTAATAATACAAAAAAGTGTTGTCAGCTATGACCCACCATGTAGGATCATCAAAAATGTTGCAGCAAGAGTACGGACAGGGACTAGAAAGAGAGAGCAGATTTCTCCTATATTGGCTTCCCTTCATTGGCTCCCAGTTAAATCCAGAATTGAATTCTAAATCTTGCTCCTCACATACAAGGTCTTAAATAATCAGGCCCCATCTTATCTTAATGGCCTTGTAGTACCACATCACCCTATTAGAGCACTTTGCTCTCGCACTGCAGGCTTACTTGTTGTTCCTAGAGTATTTAAAAGTAGAATGGGAGGCAGAGCCTTCAGTTTTCAGGCCCCTCTTCTATGGAACCAGCTTCTAGCTTGGATTTGGGAGACAGACACTATCTCTACTTTTAAGATTAGGCTTAAAACTTTCTTTTTTGTTAAAGCATATAGTTAGGGCTGCATCAGGTGACCCATAATCCTCTCTTAGTTATGCTGCAAAGGCATAGGGGTGCTGGGGGATTCCCATGATCCACTCTGTGTTTCTTCTTCAGTCACCCTTCTCACTCACTATGTGTTAATAGACCTCTCTGCACGGAATCATACTTGTTATTAATCTCTGGCTCTCTTCCACAGCATGTCTTTTGTCCTGTCTTCCTTCTCTCACGCGAACCAGTCGTGGAAGATGGCCGCCCCTCCCTGAGCCTGGTTCTGTTGGAGGTTTTCTTCCTGTTAAATGGGAGTTTTTCCTTCCCACCGTCGCCAAAGTGCTTGCTCATAGGGGGTATTATTGTAGGGTTTACCTTACAATATAAAGCACCTTGAGGAGACTGTTGTTGTGATTTGGTGCTGTATTAATAATATTTAATTGAACTGATTTGAATCTGGAAATCATCTGATTGGAAATGCCTATCTCTCTGCATGACAATGATCCCAAACCCTCAAACCCATATTATTTTGTCACATGGACTGTACAGCAGGACAGTAAAATGTACAGGTGTAACTGTTTCAGGTCAGAATGCAGTTCAAGAAGCCTGGAAGACTGCTTGAATAAATCTGAACAATTAAGAAAGCTTGACTAAGAGAGTTCAAACTATGTTGAAGATTAAAGGTGATGTCAAATATTGACTATCAAGCTTACACACTTAATGTTTGCTTTATATACTTAATTTTCATGTATGCTTGTGCATTTTTCAACAAGTCATCACACCTTTTCCCCCATTGTTCTAACAAAATATTTTTCTCAAAATGTATCAAGTCTCAAGACTTTTGCACTGTTCTGTAGTGTGTTGTCTTCGTCTCCACCTGGATTCCAATTTCATCATTTATGCTTCAGCCTTCCAATCAGGACAAAACTCTTGCAAGTATAGTGGAAAGATTTTCATTGCAGTGTTATCCATAAGTGGTACTAAGAAGAAGGGACACTAACAGTGAATCCATATATTACTAGTGTTTGCATAGTTCCTTTAATAAATGACTTTAAGGAGGCACTAAGTGAACCTGAATGTAGTCACAAGCTAATATCACCAAATTGCTGGGTACCTGTCGTTCTAGCAGTTTCACAAGTAGACACAAATCCACTGTCACTGTTGTCTGTAGTTCTCCTTCTGCAGAGTATTAGGAGTGACTTGCCTCAATCAGTTGTTCAGAGAAATAAATCAGGCTGTGCAGAGGACAAAAGAGTGCTTCCCCTCTGTGAGCTGCTTTCTGCAATCAGCCAAAGCTGACATCTTCTTTGACTCACAGTTTTAGGCCAAGTCCAGTGTACCACACGCTAGCATAGGTGCACACACACACACACACACACACACACACACACACACACACACACACACACACATTTATATGAACTCATATATGCAGTCATGCACACTCATATACAGATATGGTACCTATGTAGATGTGTGTATGAATCATCCATGCAAGCTGAAATGCTTGCTGACACACACAGGCCACATGGGTATATGTAAAATAAAGCAATCATATTGAATATGGACACAAATGCACACATGCTTACAGCTGCTTGCAACAATAGCACTGCATATATAAAATTTACTCTGTG